CAGTAAGTTCCATGTTCAGTCACAAATGATGTCTTCTCTTGGTCTGTTGAGTCCATCCTGATCTGATTGTAACCTAAGAAAGCATCCATGAAGCTGAGGAGCTCATGCCCAGCAGTGGCATCCACGATCAAGTCGATTCGAGATAAGGGAAAGCTATCCTTGGGGCATGCTCGATTGAGATCAGTGAAATCAATGCAGAGCCGTCATTTCCCATTGGTCTTCTTGACCAGTACCACATTCGCCAACCAGGTAGGGTAGTCCACCTCTCTGATGGCTTTGGCGCGGAGGAATTTACTGACCTCCTCGTTAATTGTCTTCTGGCGTTCTGGAGCAAAACTTCTCAGTTTCTATTTAACAAGTTTGAAAATGGGATTCACGCTTAGTTTGTGTATGATGACTCAGGGGTCAATGTCTTCCATGTCCTCTTGCTTCCAAGCGAACACCCTCATGTTCTTCCTCAGGAACTAGGTGAGTAGGTCTTTCATTTCTCTGCTCAATTTAGATCCCATGTAAACAATATGTTCAGGCTCTTCATTGAACTGGACTGGTTCTAGCTCTTCTGACGGGATGGGCCTAATGTCCAGCTCGTCCCTCATGTTAAGCTCATCTAGCTGGATATTTTCAATCTCTTTTTGTTTCACCAAGGCCATATAGCACTCCCTGGCTATTCGCTGGTCTCCTTGGACCATTCCAACTCTATTTTTTGTAGAAAATTTTACGACCAAGTGATTTACTGAGGGGATAGCCTTCATTACGTTGAGGGATGGTCTTCCAAGTAGCATATTGTACGTAGAAGGGGCGTCAACCACCAGGAATTTCACAGTGGTAGTGGCTTGGCAAGGAGGGTCCCCTATAGTGAGCACAAGTTGGATGGATCCTAGGGGTAGCACCTTCTCCCTTGAGAAACCCATTAAGTGAGCACTTACTAGCTCAAGCTTCTCCCTTCCTATGCCCATTTTGTCAAAGACAGAGGCGAAAATGATGTCGGTTAAGCTCCTGTTGTCAATTAGAACTCGATGAACTAGTTGGGTAGCCACAATGGCCCTTACCACCAATGGGTCATCATGGGAATGTTGGCAGNTCTTCTGGCGTTCTGGAGCAAAACTTCTCAGTTTCTATTTAACAAGTTTGAAAATGGGATTCACGCTTAGTTTGTGTATGATGACTCAGGGGTCAATGTCTTCCATGTCCTCTTGCTTCCAAGCGAACACCCTCATGTTCTTCCTCAGGAACTAGGTGAGTAGGTCTTTCATTTCTCTGCTCAATTTAGATCCCATGTAAACAATATGTTCAGGCTCTTCATTGAACTGGACTGGTTCTAGCTCTTCTGACGGGATGGGCCTAATGTCCAGCTCGTCCCTCATGTTAAGCTCATCTAGCTGGATATTTTCAATCTCTTTTTGTTTCACCAAGGCCATATAGCACTCCCTGGCTATTCGCTGGTCTCCTTGGACCATTCCAACTCTATTTTTTGTAGAAAATTTTACGACCAAGTGATTTACTGAGGGGATAGCCTTCATTACGTTGAGGGATGGTCTTCCAAGTAGCATATTGTACGTAGAAGGGGCGTCAACCACCAGGAATTTCACAGTGGTAGTGGCTTGGCAAGGAGGGTCCCCTATAGTGAGCACAAGTTGGATGGATCCTAGGGGTAGCACCTTCTCCCTTGAGAAACCCATTAAGTGAGCACTTACTAGCTCAAGCTTCTCCCTTCCTATGCCCATTTTGTCAAAGACAGAGGCGAAAATGATGTCGGTTAAGCTCCTGTTGTCAATTAGAACTCGATGAACTAGTTGGGTAGCCACAATGGCCCTTACCACCAATGGGTCATCATGGGAATGTTGGCAGCCTTCCAAGTCTGAATCCGAAAAAGTGATGGTTGTGCTCAGCCGAGGTATTTTGGACACGGTGTGCACTTCCATCGCTTTGCCAGCTCTGATCCTACGCAGGTGTGCTTTCCTGGTTACACTGGATTTTCCACCGCCAGCAAATCCTCCAGATATCACTCTGATCTCTCATAAGGGTTACTGGTGCTATGCAGGGGCTTGTTGTTGAGGTGTCGGTGGTGGTGGAGCCCTGTTCTGGTTGTCATGGGCGACAAATCGTCGTAACTTCCCCCTCTAGATCAAGAACTTGATCTCCTTCTTTAGCTGAATGCAATCGTCGGTATGATGGTCATGATCCCTATGATACTCGCAATACTTCGTAGGGTCTTTTTTAGCTGGATCTGCCTTTATTCGTGGAGGCCACCTTAGAAATTTCTCGTTCTGCACCTCATATAAGATCTGGGACACTGTTGCAGTGAGAGGGGTACATTGCTGAGGTGCATACCTCGGCTGTAGTTCAGGCTGCGGGGGTCCTAAGCAGTCCCTAACGTTCCCCCTTCTTTTTGGGGATCGCTCTTTATCTCTTCTGGGAGATCTATCTCTCTTTGGAGACCTGTTTCTTTCCCTCTCTCTCCCATGGGACTTCGGTTCCTCTTTTTCTCTTCCTTTCCCTTATCTCTATATGCGGAAGAGCTTCCTACCTAAGAAAAAAGAGCTTCTTTGCCATTTATATATTTCTCTACTTTGGCAAGCACCTCGACCATGCTTGCTTGGGGATTTTTTGATATAGAGAATATCAAATCTTTAGATTGCACCCCTAGACCAGCTATGAAGGCAGTGATGGCAAACTTTTCGTCTGGGATATCCACCTTTAACGACTCTAAATTAAATCTTTGGACATAAGACTTGAGGTTTTCTTGAGGTCCCTATTTTACATTCAAAAGGTGATAGCTCGACTTTCGATATGTTTGAGCCCCTGTGAAGTGAGATACGAAGGAAATGGAAAGTTCTTTGAAGGAAGAGATTGAGGTCGGGGGGAGCCTGNACTCCCTTCCTATGCCCATTTTGTCAAAGACAGAGGCGAAAATGATGTCGGTTAAGCTCCTGTTGTCAATTAGAACTCGATGAACCAGTTGGGTAGCCACAATGGCCCTTACCACCAATGGGTCATCATGGGAATGTTGGCAGCCTTCCAAGTCTGAATCCGAAAAAGTGATGGTTGTGCTCAGCCGAGGNGAGCGTACGGGGTCCTGATACCCGTGCAACTTCATCTGGTTCTTATAAGTATTGAGGTAGTCCATAGGGTCACTGGTTCCATCAAAGGACTCTATCTGTGGCATCCTGAACTTTGGTGGGAGGGAAAAATGCAACACCCCAGGCATGAATGGAGATTCAGTCTCCTGCACTAAGGCGTCCATTGTAACTGGAGCTTTACTTCTGATCACTTCCTTCATGTGGCTGAGCTCCTGTTGGATGCCCTTGAAGCGTTGCTCCCAATATTATNAATGGAGATTCAGTCTCCTGCACTAAGGCGTCCATTGTAACTGGAGCTTTACTTCTGATCACTTCCTTCATGTGGCTGAGCTCCTGTTGGATGCCCTTGAAGCGTTGCTCCCAATATTATTCCCTTCTCTCCTGCTGATAAGGGAAGACATCATTCTTTTCACCTTCATGGTTTTGACTTTGTACTTCTTCATTACGGCCATTCCTAGGGGGTGGTTGGGGAACCTGCCCAAAGTTTGACTGTTCTTCCCTCCTTCGTTGTCTTCTCTGAGTGGATCAAGGTGTTGTTAATCTCTGTGATGGGAACTGTTCTGACCTTCTTGGGTCGGACGTGCCTCCTGTGGGCGCTGCAAGAGCTTCAAGAGCTCTTCGTTTGGCTTTATCAAGCGTTGATTGACGAGGTGAATGGCCTCCATCTCATTATTTGTGGGGGAATTTCCCATGGGAGGATCAGTCTCTAGTTCGTTCTCGGGCTGTCTGCCATTGGTGGCTCCCTATTGGTCCTGCATCCGAGGTGGGTTTGTTTGGCTTCTGCTTATGTTTCGTGTTGATACCATCAATCACTGAGAGATCAGCTTATTTGTAACGGGAACAGTCGTTTTCCACAGACGGCGCCAAACTGATGGTGCAAACTAACGTGGGTGACTAGAGTGCATGAGACTAAGGGTGAATCTAGGCTGCCGACCTCATAATGACAATGTTGAAGTGTTTCTTAGGGGGTAAAGGAATTTGCACAGTGAGAATATAGTGGTTCANCAGAGTGCATGAGACTAAGGGTGAATCTAGGCTGCCGACCTCATAATGACAGTGTTGAAGTGTTTCTTAGGGGGTAAAGGAATTTGCACAGTGAGAATATAGTGGTTCACCAGCTTTGGAGCTCGATTAATCCACTTTCTAATGGAAGCTATAGTACAATGCATGATCTAATAAGGGTTTTTTTTTGTTCCCCCTCTTGATGAGGCGTTACATAGTATTTATAAGGCTACTCCCTATTCTATGGGATTTTAGCCGAGATCTTTGTCAATTATTCATGGGATCCTCCTTGANGTTCCCCCTCTTGATGAGGCGTTACATAGTATTTATAAGGCTACTCTCTATTCTATGGGATTTTAGCCGAGATCTTTGTCAATTATTCATGGGATCCTCCTTGATTTTAAGAGAGAATCTTGGTTGGTTGAGAGTTTCATGCATTGGGCTCTATTTTCGCAGTCATCCAGTTGTTTCTTGGTCGGTTCTACCACGATCTCCTCAAAGGGAGCTCTACCCTTGGTTCCTTGAATTCTCTGTGTCTTTTCTACCCTCCTAACCTGACCTCCTTTCCTGAACTCAAAGTTTGGACTTATTTGAGGTATCATCAAAAATAATTCAAAAAGATGTATAACAAATGAACACCGTAGAAGATTATTGAAAAGGGGACATTTTATATCACTTGAGAGAGAGAGAGTGAGAGAGGTCTTGAAAGCACCAGAAACTTCTCTTTGTCCCGGATTTTATATTCCCTTTGCTCTTTTGCCCTAAAACTAGAAGAAAACCCCAGAAGCGTCTCCCCATGACTATAATAATGCAACTCACCTCCCCCAACTTTTCATCATCCAAAAATTCAAATCTCTCTCTTCATTCGCTTCCAAACTCCACATCTCTAATCTCAATCTTACTCAAACATTCCCAACCATGTCGCTCATTCCAAGCATCTTTGGGGGCCGACGCACCAACGTTTTTGACCCATCCTTTCTCGACATTTGGGACCCCTTTGGTGGCTTCTTCACCTCTGCCCTCACCAACGAACTCAATTCAGCCCGCGAAACCTCTGCATTCGCCAACACACGAATTGACTGGAAGGAGACGTCGGAGGCTTACATTTTCAAAGCTGACCTCCCTGGACTAAAGAAAGAGGAGGTGAAGGTTGAGGTCGAAGAGGGAAGAGTTCTCTAGATAAGTGGAGAGAGAAGCAAAGAAAAAGAGAAGAAGAACAACAAGTGGCATCGCATCAAGAGGAGCAGTGGCAAGTTTCTCCGGTGGTTCAGGTTGCCGAAAAATGTGAAGATCGAGGAGGTGAAGGCTAGTATGGAGAATGGAATGTTGACTGTTACTATGCCTAAGGTGGAAGAGAAGCAACCTGAGGTGAAGTCTGTTGAGATCTCTGGCTAAGACGACAAAACACTCCCTAGTTGTTTTCTGTTTGTCGTGTGCTGTGTTTGTGACCATTGTTTGTCATCTTTGTCTTGTCATCTCATCTAGGATAAAATAAAGTCAGTATGTTTTTGTGCCTCTAAGCTAATAAACAGATGTAAGGGGCTTTGCAACAATGGTGTTAAGCTGGTTTCTTGTTTTTAATAAAAGAATGTGATTTCTTTTTAAAAAATATAAGTGTAGTGTAACATATGTATATAAATCCTTATCANACGGTGTTAAGGGGCTTTGCAACAACGGTGTTAAGCTGGTTTCTTGTTTTTAATAAAAGAATGTGATTTCTTTTTAAAAAATATAAGTGTAGTGTAACATATGTATATAAATCCTTATCATTCAAAGAGAATTGAAGACTATTTAGTAGGGTGGTCTAATTGGTTAATGATGAAATTTTTCACTTAAAGTTGGAAGTTTGAGTCTTATAGTTTACATTGGAGCTTGAAAGTTTATGTTAATTTAGGTAGGTTTATTTTCGATAAGAGTAGGCGCTTTTTTTTTGCCTCCATTTTTTTTCTTACAAGCAAAAAAAAAGAGAGAGAGAAAATTAAAGAATTTTTTAATTCTTGAAAAATTGGAGGAGAGTCGAACCCACAATGGAGTACGAGTAATGGACCAAAGTAGGACAGGTTTAAAACTACGTAACACTAAAAGCTTCAACAGTTGGGACAAAAATGCAACATCGAGATACAACTATTCATTGAATCCCACACTGCTTGTAAAAAAAGGTAGGACAGGCACCTGTGTAAGAAGATAAACATATTGTGACACTAGCTAGGATGATCGAACCTCAATGTTTCTACATGCTCTGTTTCTGTCAAGATGGAGCTCTGCTTCTTTAACATATCTGCAAGGTATAACAACTGTTACCCAAATTCTTAAATCACAAAGGAACATACCTTATAGTGACTAATTGAGTCTGTGTACATCTTATTTATGTTTCCGGAGCAGGTCATGGGCCTTATCACAGTCCACTTCGACCCATCGAGTTTGCCAGCCTGGCCTATCACTGGGAGACCCGCCAAAGAACTCGTGAATTTCAAAATTATATTGTTTTATGTTTTCTCCAAAGTCCAAATTATATATAGAATTTAGGGGTGCAACTTTTGCGGGTCAACTCGAATTCAATCCGAGCTTAACTGAAAAGTTACAGAGTTTGGGTTAGAATTTTTAATATTTGAGTTGGACCTAGATAAAAAAACCCCAACTCGAATTAAATTCAAACAAACCTTGGTTGAGACTTCGGGTTGTCGGATTCAAACCGAATATTAAAATCGGGTTGAATCCGATTATTAAATAAATAAAATATATAAATATATTTAGCTAAAATTAGTATTTATCTTCATTCTTCAAAGTCTAGACTTTCACTTCACTTTATGTCTTCACCCTTGCGTTTTCATTACTCTCAGATCTCTCTCTCACTTGTCTCTCATCTGCTCTCAGACTCTCAGCGTCCCTCTCTTACTCGTCACTCCTCCCTCTCTCACTCTTTATCTCTTCATGCGGCTCGCTCTTTATCTCAGATCACTTAAAAAAATTAAATTTACATGTCAAAAAATTAACCCAAATTAAGTAATCCAAGTTCAATCAAATTATTTACCTAAAATTAGTCCGAATTAAGTAATTCGATTTCAACCCGAGCTCACCCGAATTAAACTCGGGTAGTACTCGGATTAAATACCTTGAATTGAGGTAGTGTTAAAGTTAAGGTTGAAGATTATATACTTAGGATTATACTATGGTTGACCTATCAATCCGCCCGAGTTGCACCCCTAACAAAATTAGCGCTCAAGAAATTTATAAATATTTTCTAACATTTTTTATTCTTCTTTATCAATGAAGTCTCCTCAATCAATAAAAGAGGTATGTTTTTTTAAACTCAATTTCAACTTTAATGCCCGAATTTATGATTTTATAAAGGACAACGAGGTTTGTTGGTACCTCGTACAACCTACACAGAACAAAACTAAACGAGTTGGATTCCAGTGACCCGACAACAATTGAACAAGACGGTTGCTGGGGGTTGAGTTGAGTATTGAACTACATATCCTCTTTATAATGAATAAGAGCCAAGGGAAGGGAAAAAGCAAAAAAAATTGAAAGTTCCCCATACTGAATGAAACCATCTATAATTCATATAAGCCTAAGAATTGTCCAGTCCACCAACGAGCTCAAGCCACTTGATACAAATGATGCCAGATTTCTGTCCAAGGTTAGCTGCTAAAACCACATTTCCTATACCATATCCCAAAGTCATTTCCTACATTTCACACGGGAGAGAAATAAAAACACCATTAGCAGGATCTTCAGAGGTACAAGATGATTTTGTTGTGTCTAATCGGAACAAAGTTTAGCTCATAAGCCAGTACATCTGCCAACTATCGACAGGCGACCATGTTGGCATGATAAAATGCCCTCAGAACTTGTTCATGCAACCTCAGGGAATTTTGTGAGCTAAACTAAATTACCAGAATCACATAATTGACCAACACAAACAAGATTTAATGTAAGTTTCGGAATATGATAAATATTAGGGAGAGACAAGTGAGGTGTGACAACAGAACCAACACCTGCTAAAGGCATAGGAATATTATCAGTAGTCATAACAGGAATAGAAGATGAATGAGATACAAAAGCAAAAGATGAAGAATCTGGAGACATATGATGTGAAGCACTAGAATCCAAGACCTATACAGAATGTGACATACCTAAAAAACTATGAGGCAATTGGCCTACAAAAGAAGAAGCAAACATAGCTTGTGGCTGTAAGGAGAGAAATTTCTGAAATTGCTCAGCCAAAGTACTAGAATCGGTGAAAGAACCTGATGAAACTACTACTGCAGTATTAGACTGTGGTGGTTTGTAACCCTGAGGTGGTCTATGAACATTAGATTGTGACTGGTTGCCAGGCTTACAAGCTTGAGATTATTGCTGCGATTGATTCTGCTGTCTTAACTTAGGACATTGAGCCTTCCAATGACCTTTTTGCTTACAAAAATTACACTCGTCGATGGCAGTCCTTGTGTAAGGCTTATTCTAATTATTAGAGAATGGTTTAGAAGGTACTGCTAGAACAAAAGGATTAGAAATAGAAAGAATTCCCTTTTCAGAATAAGAGTTAAGGCATATTTCTTCAGCCAATAACTCACTGACAACTGAGTCAACAGAAGGAAGTGGAGAACGATGCAAAATTGAACCTCGAAGTCCGTCAAAATCACTACGAAGTGTCATTAAAAACTGTACCAACCGTTGTTGCTCTCTACGAGCAATATAGGCACCACATGCCTTTAATTCGGCCAATTCTATAAGAGCCAATTGATCCCAAAGATCTGTCATAGCAGAATAAAACTCCTGAATACTCATATTCTTCTGCTGAAGAGTTCNGTCAAAATCACTACGAAGTGTCATTAAAAACTGTACCAACCGTTGTTGCTCTCTACGAGCAATATAGGCACCACATGCCTTTAATTCGGCCAATTCTATAAGAGCCAATTGATCCCAAAGATCTGTCATAGCAGAATAAAACTCCTGAATACTCATATTCTTCTGCTGAAGAGTTCGTATGTTATTCTCCAATTGATACTGCTTTGCAAAATTTGATTGAGTGAATAACCTTTGCAGATGATCCCAAACCTCCTTTGCTGTCTCATACTTTGCCAACTGTGTACCTATAGAAGACTCTACAGAATTGTTAATCCAAGTAATAATTTTTGCAATGTCTGCTTTCCAGGCATCTATCAAAGTAGCATAACCCGCATCAGTATTCTTAAGTTTCATAGAAGTTCCACTAACATATCCCCATATCTTTTTACCCTTAAGAAAATTTCTCATCACATAACTCCAATACGAATAATTCTTTCCATTCAACCTCACACTCACAGACTGAAGCAAATCGTCTCTTTCGGTAGCCATAACCAAAAAACAAAGAAAACCATATTACAAAAATGGAACGAATACCCTTTCGAAAAAAAAATCTAATAAAACCAGTTGGATCCGCTTAAGCTGTGTTTGAGATTAAGTCTTGTTCCATGAAACTTTGCTCTAATACCATTTGAAACAATCTAATAAAAGAGAAATATAAAAGATAAGAAAAGAGGAGGCTAGGATTTTATTGATACTGCATAATTTCAATTGAATATAAACAAGTGATTTAACCTAAATACAAAGTGACTATATATAGGCTAAGCAAAGAGAAAGTAAAGGACTATTCTACCCTTAATAAACAAAATAACCCTATATTTCTTAACACAGTGAAGTATTTACCCTATACCCAAGTCAAAAGAATACCTATTTGTTAGAAAGCAAAGCACCATTTGTAGCTAGGACAGCGAATATGCATGAGTGCTATCATTTTGCTGTTAGGAACTCCTTTAAATTCCATAAAATTCCCTTGTTATAAGGATTTGTAAACCTTATCTCAAGTACGGGTTGCCCTGCACAGAAAAAGCAATAAAAGATCAATTTCATAAGGATGGTTAAAAAACTATGGCCCGCAAGTAACTTACCTGGCTAGGGCGGGACTACTAGTTGGAACTCAGTATATCTCCTCCAGTTTATCTGCAAACCATGACAATAGCAGCCATCAATACCGCAAAATAAGGAAATTCGGAAATACCATGAAATCGGACTCGACACACATATTTTAAAACAGTTTTAAGTTTCATCTGTTGAAAAAGGCTACATAATCAAAAAATAAATTTGGAACTTAAAAAAGCCCATGTGATAAATTCAAATGTAAGTATAGTCTGTATAGATGTAGGAATTTACCCACTCATCAGTTTTGATATTGAAACATATACAATACACATGCCACACCAAGAAAGCCACCTAGACATTCACCAATAATACTCTAGTCAATACATTATCAGCTGATAAAACAAGCTATCTCCCACATTTTTCAGAAAAAGCAGAATTAATACATAACCAGAAACAGTATACACCCGCTGAAGCACTTGAAGAAGAGA